TTCCCTACATCAGATGAGGCGTAAGGAAACAACCTCTTGAAAATTAGATTTTGAGCGATGTGCTAGTATAAGTATTTAGGGAAAAGGGGTTCACTTGAAAAAAGCATATTCTATAAAGATGAAGAAATTGTATGACCCCAGAGCCTAGCTCCCTGGAGTTTCTGTTTTCTGCACATAAACTCCACAGCATTAGCTGGGTTCCCAAGAGGTCCGGAGTTTTAACCTGTTGGGCGCTTGCCATCATTGACCACGTTATCATCTATCTATGTTTTGCACAGTGTTCAGGTAAAGTTCTAATATCTCAGATTATTAGGCAGTGTTTCCTGTGTTTTCTGCTGATAGCCTCTAATAAATGCAAACATTTATGGTCACTGGTCATGAACATTGAGTTCAGTCATTTGCATGTATATTTTGTGAGCTCTGTTAAAACCAGGGCTTGCCTAACACTCTGTTCTGTCTCTTACAGCTAAATATGTAAATTTTCACAAATTGTTGCTACGAGAGCTCTTACTACAGTGATCTCATATTGGCCCTATTAATGGAAATATTGAACTACCAGGAAAATATATTTTATTGAAAGAAAAGAGTTTAACAGCCAGTGTGTTTTGGAATGGGGTGGACTAATCTGGTTGGCTCATTAACTTCACTTTTAGAGTTGGGTCGACCTCTGAATGATGCCAACAACAGCATCGCACACTTGAGTCAATCTGATGATGTAGTTCTTTCACAATATTCTTTCTCAACCCCGTGCTGTGTAATCTATTCATGAGAAAGTACAGATAGGTGGTAGCAGACAGGAAGGTCTTTAACATAAAAGTTCTTCCAGTGATACAAAGTACAAGAATCTGAGTTTATCAAAGCGCACTAAGTTTTAGCTATGATTATATCATATTTTCCAAAACGTGGTGCCGTTTTAGCCCTCTCTGTCCTGAGTGTTGGTGCACTGGACACTTATCGCTGCAGTGTATGAGCATGCTGTTATGTTACCAAACAGAACAGAGGCTCCTGTGCCAAAAAAAGAAGCTTTGCTCCTGATGAGCAGGAATATAGATGTCTTAGAGAAAGCCGTTAAACTGGCAGCCAGGCAGGTATTGCCCTTTCTACACTGGCTGGGATATTGGAAAGGAAATTTGGGACTTGATAAGGATGTGAGTGTTTAGAATTTGGAAGACACTTTTTTGCTCCTACTTGTTTTGAGCAGGGTGCACATATCATTGTGACCCCAGAAGATGGAATTTATGGCTGGATCTTCACAAGGGAGACCATTTATCCCTATCTGGAGGTTACCCCAGATCCTGAAGTGAACTGGATTCCATGTAGAGACCCCGAGAGGTAATGTCATTACCCTTTGATTTTTTTTTTAACATCTTTATTGGAGTATAATTGCTTTACAATGATGTGTTAGTTGCTGCTGTATAACAAAATCAGCTATATGCATACACAGATCCCCTTATGCCTCCCTCTTGCGTCTCCCTTCCACAACATTTGTTTAAAACCAAAGGGTAGTAAGAGGAAGCAGCCACCCTTTGATTTTAAACAAATGTTGTGACATTGTAATAGCAAGTTCAGTAAGCTTGACTAGTATTCTTGTGACAAACAGTCTGTGGCACTGGATTCAGACTTCTCTAATTCTTCATAATGCGTACCATCTGGCTTGTCTCCTGTTTGGTAAATGACTTGAGAGGATGATGTTTGGTTGGTTATTTATTGTAGTTTTCTTTCATGAATAGTATGTGTACACACAGTTTTTATAATAGATGTGCTTAATTGGGTTTCAGCAAAGTGAGAAAGTTGTGATATCTAGAACTTATGTTCTCAAATGTAAGTAAGCAGGTCCACCCATGAAAACCTGCTTCCTTTGCAGAAGTGGTAAAAAGATGACTGGGTTTATGTTCCCAAGGGGCTTTGATATCGGCATGCAATGTAATCAGTACAGTGAGTGGAAATTGCATAGGACTTGAAAAAGGAGGTGCTTTTTCTGAGACCACATTCTACCACCTCCTGACTGAGTGCCGTGGGACAGACAACCTAAACTATTGACATCTCGGTTTCTTTATCTGTAAACCAGGGATAATAAAAGTTCCTCTCTTACTTCACTTTACAGAGTAAAGTAGACACGCAGTATAGGGAATTCCTTGCTTGTCCAGTGGTTAGGACTCCGTGCTTTCACTGCTAAGGGCCTGGGTTCAATCCCTGGCTGGGGAACTAAGATCCCACAAGTCGAGCAGCACGGCCAAAAAATAAAACACCCCCAAAATGAGAGCAAAGTGAAGTAATACATAGAATCTATACACTATGGTGCCCTCTTTAGTGTTAGCTCTCACTATTACTTTTTTTTAACAGAAGGAGCTGGATCTGAACTTTTGTTTTCTTGTCCTTCAAGAAATTTAATAATTGTTTATAGCTGTAGTTTAGGCATAAGTTTCTTAAAGAAAATCTGTATAAAATATAAGAAAGATTTTTGAAAATAAATTATTTTAGGTGTATTTACTTTTTAAAATAGTTCATATGTAATCCCTTTAAATGGCAAAATCAATGCATTAAAAAGTAATTTAATTTGCTAATTTTAAATTTACATGCCTCTGTTCAGAACTATTATCTAGCACACAAAAAAAGAAACTTCTTAAATAATTTTGACCACGTGAAATCAGTTGGAAAGTCAAGTCCAATGTAGCAACATAAGAGCTCTATTATGTGAGTCAGGTCTCACCCTGGGATTTTCACCTTTGGAAAAATTTTCTCTGAACGTTGCACAGTCTGTGTTTATAGTAATCACGTAATTGTGACTCAGTTTCTACTTGATTATGGGGCTTTCCCAGAGCAGGAAAGACTCATTATTTGCAGTAATTCAAGAGGCTTATACTGAAATACACTCTATTTGCCTTGGCTGATAAAACAGACTTTCTTAGGGGAAAGGTGTCCTGAAGCCTGATAATTAGTCTCTGATGAATTATTGTAAGTAGGGAAGGTAGGTGACTGATGAAACTTTAATACTACTGAGGCTTGCAGACACTTACTCAAATGGCAAGCTTTCAACTCTGTGTTGTAGAAAAGAAAAATCCAGTATTTAATATAATGCTAATATTGGTAAAGAGAGCCACCGTTTCTTCCCTAGTATCGTTTATCCCTAAAAGGGGTAATAAAAGTGCACATAGTCATCCTTGTGTATTTAAATAGTATCATTTAGAATACTGACACATGTCATTCTTCCTTGGGCTTTCCCCATGAGGAACTAATAGGAAAACATTAAAGTACCCTAATTATTTAGCCAAAAAAAAAAAAAAGAAAACCAAAATAAAATACATAATAGTTTTATTAAGGCCTTAATGAATATGAATGTTGACAACATTACCCTGTTTTTCCTGAAGGCAAAATAAAAGAAATGGTCACAATCTCTTCCTTCTATACAAAGACTAGTTCAACATCAATTGCAAAGGGACTGAGAAACCATGGAGAGTCTGAATGGTCTCTACAATCAAGTCATCAGTGTTCTGGCCTGTCTTCTTGTAGTTACAAAATTCATAATGGCCATTATTTATTTATTGAGCACCTGCTTGGCTCCAGAATCTGTACCTGGTACACTATGCACATTATCTCATTCAATTTATGTAGCAGGTATAACTATTCCCATTTTATTTTATTATTTTTTGTTTGTTTGTGTGTTTCTTTTTATCTATTTATTTTTGGCTGTGTTGGGTCTTCGTTGCTGTGCGTGGGCTTTCTCTAGTTGCGGCAAGCGGGGGCTACTCTGTTGCAGTGTGTGGGCTTCTCCCTGCAGTGGTTTCTCTTGTTGTGGAGCATGGGCTCTAGGTGCATGGGCTTCAGTAGTTGTAGCACACAGGCTCAGTAGTTGTGGCACGCAGGCTCTAGAGTGCAGGCTCAATAGTTGTGGCACATGGGCTTAGTTGTTCTGCGGCATGTGGGATCTTCCTGGACCAGGACTCGAACCTGTGTGCCCTGCATTGGTAGGTGGATTCTTAACCATTGTGCCACCAGGGAAGTCCCTATTCCCATTTTAAATATGAAGAAAAGAAGGGAGGGCTTCCCTGGTGGCGCAGTGGTTGAGAGTCCGCCTGCCGATGCAGGAGACACGGGTTCGTGCCCCGGTCCGGGAAATATTCCACATGCCGCGGAGCGGCTGGGCCCGTGAGCCATGGCCGCTGAGCCTGTGCGTCCGGAGCCTGTGCTCCGCAACGGGAGAGGCCACTACAGTGAGAGGACCGCGTACCGCCAAAAAAAAAAGAAAAAAAAAAGAAAAGAAAAGAAGGGAGCTTAAGGTTTCACAATTGGTAATTAGCCTGGCTGGAATTCAAACACAGCCATTTCTACTGAGCCACGCTAACGGAATGGACTTTTGAGTGCCTGGAAGCACCATCTGATACTTGAAATTTCCAGTGACTAGTGAATCCACTTCTTAGCATGTTCTGGTTGCTAGAAATTTAGAAATTTTAATCTTATTTTCCACTGAAATCATCTATCTATAACTTCCTTTGGGGTTCATACTGAGCCTGTCGTATATTAAGATACGTGACTCATCTTCAAATTAGAGTCTTTCAATTATTTGAAGCCAGCTATAATCGCACCTATTTCCTCACCTCAATCCCTTCTTATTTCTAGGGTAAATATCCCCAAGGTGGGTGGTTTGGGCATTACTCTGAAAAGCAATTTCATAGTCTGTATTTATCCTAGGGTTTCACTCAAGGGCCCTCTAAGATAGAAGGGAAGCTATTGTGTTGCATTGACAAATGGGGACACTGAGACTTCATAATGAAATTCTCTTTTCCTTTTCTTTTCTTTCCTTTTAAAAAATATTTCTGGTACCTAATACTGCATTTGTTCTCTGTAGAAGATGATCTGCCTGGGCCCAACTCTATACTGCCTCGTAGTAGGGCTGTGGCTTGGATTATGGAAAAGGTCCTCCCCATTAGAAAAGTGTTAAATTTCAAGCCCTTCATTTGTGTTCCTAGGAGAACATCATAAGAAAATGTGTTGCTTCTCTTCTTTCTCCTCTTCCCCCTCAGTTTGCTCTGTGCTTCAGTCTTGCACTGCCATCTTCAATCTGTCAGTTAAAAAACAGGTTAGTTTTCATAAAGAAGAAGATGGTATTACATGTGAGTTTTTAAATCTTTACTGTTGATTCTTAACCTAGAGCCGTTGTGTGTTATAGGTAACGGGCAAATAAAGTATCACTTTGGTAGTTCCAAAATCACTAACACACAGTGAGTTTAAGGCAGTATCTATTGAATTAGGTTTGGCTGCAGCCCAGTGCAAGAAAGGCTCAGCTGTCTGGCCAAGGACAACTCTATCTACATTGTGGCAAATACTGGGGACGAGAAGCCATGCAATGCCAGTGCCCCTCACTGTCCTCCTGATGGTCGTTACCAATACAACACTGATGTGGTGTTTGATTCTGAGGGTAGGCTGGTGGCCCACTACCACAAGGTGAGAATTACTTGTGCCTTAGCTAAGCTCAATTTACTTCTTTTTTTTTTTTTTTTTTTGCGGTACGCGGGCCTCACTGTTGTGGCCTCTCCCATTGCAGAGCACAGGCTCCAGACGCGCAGCCTCAGTGGCCATGGCTCACGGGCCCAGCCGCTCTGCGGCATGTGGGATCTTCCCAGACAAGGGCACGAACCCGTGTCCCCCTGCATTGGCAGGCAGACTCTCAACCACTGCGCCACCAGGGAAGCCCCTCGATTTACTTCTTTTGTTTGTGATATCTAGGTATACTTGTCTGTGAATGCTGGTGAGGGAACTGTTGTGAATGCGTTTCTGAATTATTACATTTAGTTGAAAAAGGGATTTAACTTACTTTGATTTCGTATAAGCGTTCTGAATTTGAATTAGTCATAAAACAGAAACTACCAGAGTATTTATTTATTTATTTTTATATATTTTATTTTTGGCTGTGTTGGGTCTTTGTTTCTGTGTGAGGGCTTTCTCTAGTTGTGGAGAGCGGGGGCCACTCTTCATTGCGGTGTGCAGGCCTCTCACTATCGCGGCCTCTCTTGTTGCAGAGCACGGGCTCCAGACACGCAGGCTCAGTAGCTGTGGTGCATGGGCCTAGTTGCTCTGCGGCATGTGGGATCTTCCCAGACCAGGGCTCGAACCCATGTCCCCTGCATTAGCAGGCAGATTCTCAACCAGTGCGCCACCAGGGAAGCCCAAATCTACCAGACTATTAAAGCAGATATGCTAATAGCTGCACGAGGATTTTAATATTCACTGAGAAAGGAGAAATGCTCAGTTTCATCACAAGATTTAGTACTAGAGTTAGATTTTTGACCCAATTTGTTAACATTTGGTATTAAGCTGTAGTCATTCATTTCATTAGGACCTTTTTGATTGCAATGATAGAAAAACCCCCCAACTGAAATTGGCTTAAAACAACAACAACAACACAGAATTTCCTTGCTTAGGTACCTGAGAAAATATAAATCATAGAAAGGGTAGGTCTAGTTTCCAATGCAGTCTGTCCCTCAGAGGCCCAGAAGATGTCAGCCATCCCTCTAGCTCTCTTATTCCTTTGTTACAACTTTTTCCCAGGATGACTGTCCTTTCAGAAGCCACATGGCTGCTCATCACAAAGCACATATCCTAATAGCAACAAAATCCAGAGGAAGACTGCATTTCTCTTTCCTAGAAACCCTGCAAAAACCTTAGCCTTCCTTGACTCCAAATCAGCCACATGCCGTCCTCAAGTCGATCACCTGGGGATGAAGGATGGACTACCCCCTGAGCCTAGGGCCGAGGAGCTTGGGATGCTCACTGGTCGGGTTGGGGTGGGGTGTTGCCTGAGCACATACGCACACATCAGGCCAAATAGAAATGTGAGCAGAACGTAAGGCTGTTCTGAGCCCAAGGTTGTTGGAGTTTGGGAGCAATAATCAGGCTGGAAAAAAAATTCTAATGGCTTACTAATTAACAAGGTTTAGCTATTACATTGTCTAAATTAAGTTCCAATCTACGTCACCTCACTTATATAGACCTAGCAGTACCATGGGGAGACATGACAAAGTTTATTTTATTACCGTGTTAGACTTCACACGGACAGTGCTGTCTGTATTTAAAGAATAGAATGGAAAACCATCAGAAATTTGTGAGGTTCAAAATTTCAAGCGATTTTAAGACAAATATTCACCTTTTAAATATCATTTGTAGGGGCTTCCCTGGTGCCACAGTGGTTAAGAATACTCCTGCCAATGTAGGGGACATGTGTTCAATCCCTGGTCCAGGAAGATCCCACATTCCGCGGAGCAGCTAAGCCTGTGCACCACAACACCTGAGCCTGCGCTCTAGAGCCCACGAGCCACAACTACTGAGCCCGCAAGCCACAACTACTGAAGCCCGCACGCCTAGAGCCCGTGCTCCACACCAAGAGAAGTCACCTCAGTGAGAAGCCCGTGCACCGCAACGGAGAGTAGCCCCCACTCGCCGCAACTAGAGAAAGCTCGTGCACAGCAACAAAGACCCAATGCGGCGATAAATAAATAAATTAATTAAAAATAAATATCATTTGTAGATATGAACTCATTGGTTGATTCATAGGTTGTGGGAAAATGAAGTGTTCTAATGAATGTCACAGTGAGAAAACTCACAGACAGTGATATACTGGGTATAATTTACACTAATTTATGTGTAACAGTTTTAAGTATGCACACCAACATGCACGCAAGAAAAGATTTTGAAGATATTGATCACTTCTATTTGACAGTTTTCTTACTAACCTTCCGTTCCTTTGCATTTCGCTTGACAGTACAATCTTTTTGCACCTGAAATTCAATTTGATTTCCCCAAGGATTCAGAACTTGTGACTTTTGACTCTCCCTTTGGGAAGTTTGGCATTTTCACTTGCTTTGACATTTTTTCTCATGACCCAGCTGTGATGGTGGTGGAAGAGTTTCAGGTTGACAGCATTCTGTACCCCACGGCCTGGTACAACACGCTGCCCCTCCTCTCTGCAGTCCCCTTCCACTCGGCATGAGCCCGAGCCCTGGGAGTCAACCTGCTTGCTGCCAATACCCACAACACGAACATGCACATGACACGTACCTCACCCTGGTTCTGCCCCAACAGGTAGCCACAGTCTTGGGAAGGCTTCATTCATTTTCAAGCCACGCTTTTCTTCAAATATTCTTCTATTAACTCCAACATCACAAAATTAATAAGAGCCATATGGGCTTCTATACCAACATTATTTAAGGAACATTATTCCTGGGAGTAAAGAAGGAGGCAAACATTATATTCTCAATTTCATGCGAGGGGAAATTGGAGTTAGAGAGAATTCAAGTTACATAAAAAAAGCAAAGCCAGAGCTAAAGAACGTTGCAGCTAACATCCATGAGTAATATTGAAATAAATCTTGCTGTTGAGGTGATAAAATCACTTTAGACTTAATCAGGATTTTAGAGTTTATCCTTTATAGTATCCACTTTCAAGGTAAAGCAGCCTCCCCTCTTGACTGCTTTGTTGTTCATTGATCCAGGTGAAGAATCTCAAGCACAAATAAATTAGATAGGTTAGTGGAGAGCTAAAATTGTTCTTCGTGTTTGAGAAATTTTCTGGTTTACTGTTAAGTTGGCTAAAGAAAGGGGAGTTTGAGTTAAAAAAAAAAAAGCTATCTAAGTCATATAGTTTCAGTGTAAGCAGTCCCATACGGAGGACTCAGAGTCCAATTGGAATTTAGGTCAATGTAAAGCTCTCTCCCTCCTTATCTTGAAAATGCTTATGCTTTCATAACTTTATATTTCAGTTCTTATGGAAGTGATTCTATTTGTTTGTCACCATGCAAAATTTGAAACCAATATTTGTGTTTCTTTATGTCACCCGTAGAAAGTGGAATCTACTCACCGGATGCTGTCAAGGTGTATTACTATGACATGGAAACAGAGAGCGGCCAGCTGATGCTCTCAGAATTGAAGTCCCGGCCTCGAAGAGAGCCCAGGTACTCTGCAGCTGTTCACTGGAGTGCTTATGCCAGGGGTGTCAAGCCATTCTCATCTGAACGGTTGAATTTTCCAGGGATGATTTATTTTGATGCGTTCACCTTCACCAAGCTTAAGAGAAACACAGGAAATTACACAGTTTGTCAGAAAGACCTGTGTTGTCACTTAACCTGCAAGATGTCTGAGAAAGGAACCAGTGAGGTGTATGCACTAGGTGTCTTTGACAGACTGCACATGGTAGAAGGCCAGTATTACTTACAGGTAGAAACACTCGAATATGTTAGAATGGCTATTTTACTGATTTGTCTTCTAGGTCATTATTGCATTTCTTTAAGAATTGTGCTGGATTCAGTTAATTGGAATGGTGTTACATTTGTCACTGAACTTTTCTCCCTAGAACACATTATTTGTTCAGTCTTAGTGAGAACAGAATTAGAGCTGCAAGGTAAAAACATGAAGCAGATTCATTAGTTCTCAGCAGACTGGGTTCAAATTTAAAAAGCTACAACCCCCATATACTCTCTTTTTCTGTCAGGTTACTTTAGAGCTGTGTTTTGCAAACTGTCTTCAACTAGTGTCCAGAGCAAGAAGTCCATTTCACATCATAAACAAGCGCAGTCAAGATGTATGACTGAGTTAAAAGAGATACTTAATTGAAACAAACGTTTTATAAAATAATTCAAATCAGAATTAGAAATAGCTATAATTATAACCAACATACTTTGATTTTGAAAATTCTAGTCTACTCCATTTTGCTTCATTGAAAAAAGGGCTAATCTTGACTCACTAAATTAATTTTAGGAGTTACTAATAGATTATGAGCTGCAATTGAAAAAAAAAACTACTTAAGAGGCAACCTAACAAATATTCTTCTATTCTTTGAAATTGGATTTTTAGCTGAGAAAATATTTCCAAGATTTCCAACCACTTTTATTTTCCTACACAGGTATGCACATTACTGAAGTGTCAAACCACTGACCTGAGAACTTGTGGAGAGCCTGCGGGGTCAGCTTTTACCAAGTTTGAAGAATTCTCCCTCTGTGGCACATTTGGAACGAGCTATGTTTTCCCACAGATCATTCTTAGTGAGAGTCAGCTTGCCCCTGAAAGACATTATGAGGTAGAAGATTTTCAGGAGGATAAATTCCTTTGAACAGATGCAGTAGACTGGCATAATGAAACTCATTGAAATAATGAGACAACATGGCAACATTGTCATTCACCTTATTCAAGCAACTTATGCAAAGAAACTATGATATGGAAGACAAGTTGTGGTTCTAGACTGTCCTTAGGCTGTGGTGAAGAATTTGGGGGTTATTTTTCTACATATATGTGATTTTGATATCCAAGGGAACAAGGAGATTATGGAAGAATTAAAATAAAAATATTGATTGCCAGTGATAGCTGGCAACTAATGTTTTCTTTTTTTGCGTAGTGGAGAACGTCCAAGTTGAATACATTAAATAATGCATCTATAACTTATTTCATGGGTGCATTATTCTGCGTAGTTATAATAAGGATAGTAATAATTGATACTTTGTATAGTTTCATGAATTAAAAAAAAACCTCGTTTTTATACATTATCTTACTTAATCCCCAGGGCAATAGATTTATTTGCTACACATTCACCCAAAGTCCCTCTGATACTATTAGACATGTAGAGCTGAAACAGGGGTCTTCTGACTCCAAATTTTGTGTGCTTTTGACTATTTCATGTTGCTTTTAGAGTGATGTTGTCAGAGAAGGCTTCTGGGCTGGAACCAACTCTGCATTGAAGTTAATCCTTTGCTTTCTTTGATCGGGTTTCAGGAGATGGACGTCTGCAGAGCCGAGGTGGAGCCCCTTTGCCTTTCTTGGTTCTGGCCCTGTATGGAAGAGTGTTTGAGAGGGACCCTCCACGCTTAGGGCAGGGAACTGGGCAACTGCCATGATCTCCTTCACCGCCATCCTTTCAGGATTAGCCTGGCAAAGAGAGAGGGAAAAGAGAGTGTCTTTAGTGTCTGTTTAGAAGAGATGTCATCACTTTGCTGAAACAACAAACTTAAGAAGATTTAAAAAGCAATTGGATGTGGGTGCACATTTTACATATTCATTTCTGGGAGGTGCATACATCTTTTGTGTGGGTGCACTTAAGTATGTGTCAGTATGTCTAACATGTATTTATGGGAGGGGAGCCTAGAAGAGTCCTTTTGTGGTAACTTCTCTAACGTATGCAAATATTGTGTCTCTCATTTGTAAATGCACAGGGTAAGCGTTGAAAATGCAGAGGGTATTTGGTCCTAGTCTTTAGGATACAGGAAGTTAAAAAACAAGGGTATCTTTTAAAGTAATTATGAATGACTTTTATAACAAATTAAAATTGTTCCATTATCTCTTTATTCTACCTTTATGGAATATTTGTATGGAAATTAGATACTTGTGAAGGGAAATTTATAAAGAGATAAATGAATAAATGATCTCCTTAAGACCACACGCTGTTTCCTTCTGAAATTATTCTTTCCTAAAATTTACCCAATCCTGGTTAAAGCCCCTCATATTCATGGATTTGTTGCAGCCTGTGCCAGACAGGAGCTTCCTCAGGAAAGGCTACCCTGTTACCTTTCTCCCAGTTACCTTTGGTCCCTTGACCCTAGCGCCCTGAGTCCTTTCCCTGGTTTGTCAGTTATTAACTCTGGGAAGAGACACACATGAGAATAGCAGTGCTCTCTAGGATGTGTGAGAGAGGTTGAGGATGACTCTGAGTTTGGGGACACCTTTCCCTTCCCTTAAAAGATATGACAACTGCTTTCCTAATCTTTTCTCAGGTGTTCCTTTCTACTCGGTTTAATTCAATCCAGTTCCAGGAAGCTAGAGACATTCTGGGCAGCAGAAAATGCCCTCTGTCTCTCTGTTTCCATTTTACCTGGAATCTCTCTCCAGGGGCTACAACACCCGATGATAGGATGCTACTTATGCCCTAGACTCCTCCGCTTGTGCTTAAAACTTCCCCAATCTTGCTGTTTGGGAGACACTGCATTGGGAAATATCCCCAGTGTTCTTCTTACTTGTTGGAAGTAAAAAAATCCTTCCTTCTGCTCTTTGGCTTGATTGCATCTTTTGGCTCAACACCCAGCAAGAGGCAAACCCAGCGTGGGGGTAACATTAGGGGTCAGGAGATTCAGCTCAGGCATCATAGCGGAGGCTGTTTGGTGTCCCACCAGTTCTAATTTAAGCTGATGGATGGCATTCTACTGCAAGAACCACAGTTGTCCACCTAAAGGCTTCTCCCAGCTGGTATGTGCCAAGGTAGGCCAGAAATGCCAGCTTGATGTGGTAGTAAATGTCGGGGGAAGGGAAGGGTTCTATAGCCCAGTGATTAAATCTCTGTCTTGTAGTGGGCTTGTGTTCCTGGGCTGTGACCTTCACAAATTTTTCTTAGCTGTCTCCTTTCGCCTTAGTTGGGATAGGCAAGCTGGAGGGGGTTTAGAGATGGGGTTTCCCTGTCCCCCCAGGAAGGTTAGGCTCTAGTAAATTGTTTCCATGGAAGGCAGGCTTTGGTTAAGAGAACAGAATGCTCCGGACTTACTTCAAAGTAGGTGTATTTTTCCTCCTCCTAGAGGAAGCACAAGGTGTCTTATTTCCTCGTTATTCACCCAGAGAACCTGGTTGGGCTTCTGGAGTGAAAGTCACAAAAGCGTGAGGGCCCCCCTATAATGAAACCTCCTCCACCTTCAGCCCCCATTTGTATCTCTCGAGCCTGCCCACGCTGAACCTCTGGCCATGCGTCAAAGACAGTTGGAGTGACCATACCAGGACTGGCTCCAGCAGTGGACTTCTGCTACGGTCAAGCCTGTCTCTCTAACTCTGGGGGCAGTGATTTGTCCTGTGAGTCCAGTTCTCTGATGTACGTAAAAAAGTTGCTGCTTTTCAGTTGTTCAGCTTTTTTCTTATTGAGAAAATGGTAGAGATGACTTGCAAGCTCTTTCTATATCAGACTAGAAACACAATGGGAGCTTCTTACTTAATATTTTTATTCTAACAAGATCAAAGAAGTAATTTTTTTAATCTCTCATTCCGGTTTTAACTTTTATTTCAGAGCTTCCTTTATAAATTCTTATGGAATGACTGCATCTCCTTGTAAAAAATTAATAAACAGAAACCTCAATTAAATAGAGCTGGAAGACCAGAGGGAGAGTTCTCATGCCCCGTGACAATAGCAGAGCCAAACAGGAGGAAGGCCACTTCTCTTCTTCCTGGCAGGGACTCAGCCAAGGAAAAGCCATGGACTTTTTGATTACTCCAGCCCTCTCAACTTCCTTTTTCGCTCTATGTAAGCATTCTCCTTCCCTTGCCGTGCAGGGGCTCACCATGGTGGCAGATCCTGAATTGTAGTTCTCTGCAGATCCCGGATAAACCCATCTTTGCTGGAGAGATATCTGGTAGTCTGTTTTGGGTCAACATCCTTGCGAAGTATGTATCCCACCCACCTGGGAAGGGAAAGCCCAAAGGAGGTCAGCAAGCAGAGGGAGCTGGTATTTGCTATAGACTTAGGGAGACCGGGCAAACACAGCCTCCTGGCTACTTTGGCAGCCAAAGAATAAATTTACTGTAGTACTGAAGTAAAAAAAAAAAAAAAAAAAAAAAAAATCATACATACCCATCTGCAAATTGAACTATAAAAACACCATCCAAAGTGAAATCTAAAAACAAAACAAATAAACACTAATTCTGTAAATATAAAATATGTTATACTTAATTCACAAGTAAAATAAAGTTTGTGGGCTTCCCTGGTGGCTCAGTGGTTGAGAGTCTGCCTGCTGATGCAGGGGCCACAGGTTCGTGCCCTGGTCTGGGATGATCCCACATGCCGCAGAGCGGCTGGGCCCCTGAGCCATGGCTGCTGAGCCTGCGCGTCCGGAGCCTGTGCTCCACAACGGGAGAGGCCACAACAGTGAGAGGCCCGTGTACGGCAAAAAAAAAAAAAAAAAAAAAAAAAAATTTGCCTACTTATTCCATACCAAAATCTATAAGCTCTTTTTCTATTTTCTATTATTTTCCTCTCTTCTCTCTCCCTCTCTCTCCCTCTTATTCTCCCTCTCATTCTTTATACTCCCTTCTCTATGACTCGTATGGTATGCAGCCTCTAAAATGGTCCCCAATGATCCCTGCCTCATTCATGCCCTTGTGTAGTCCCCTCCCAACAAGTGTACTGACTTGCTTTTAATGAATACAATACAACAAAAATGATGGGCTGTCACTTCCCAGATGACAATGCTAAAGACTGTGACTTCTGTCTTGGGTGGTGGGCTCTCTTGCTCTCTGGCTTTGAAGGAACCTACATGCCATAATGTGAGTGTTCTTTTAGTGTGGCCTGAGGCCTTTGTGGCAAAGAACTTATTGGGCCATAACCAGTGAGGACCCAACGCCTGCCATCAGCTGTGTGAGCCTGGAGCTGAGAAGTGTCTCTTTCCCCAGTCAAGTTTTGAGGTAACTGCAGCCTTTGCAGACTTGTGAAAGAGACCCTGGGCCAGAGGAGCCCAGCCAAGCTGCCCCAGGATTCCTGACCCACAGAAAATGTGAGATCACACATGCTTGCTGTTAGAAGCCACTACTTTTGGAGGGTGATCTGTTGCATAGGAATGGACAATGAATAGCCCTTTCATATTCCCCTTTGTTCTGACTCTTTGCCATTTTGTGCAAACTAAAGTGAACAAAGTATGAAGCTCAAATATTCACATGATGATATTAATAATAATTTCAAAATTGAAAAGTTATTTTTCAAATTATTTACACAGACTACTAGGTGCTGAAGTTCTCAAACGTATGAATTCCAAAAATCCATGTGTTTAATTCTTAATCCCCTGTACCCCAGAAAGTGACCTTATTTGGAAATAATATCATATCAGATGTAATTCGTTAAGATGACGTCTTACTGGAGTAGGGTGGGCACTAAATCCATTAACACGTGTCCTTGTAAAGAGAGGAAATTGGGACTCAGGTATGCACACAGGGAGAATACCGGGTGAAGACACACGGGGAGAAGAGAGGAAAACACCGGGAAAGAGGCGTGAACAGATCTTTCCCTCACAGCCCTCAGGAGGAACGAATTCTGCTGACCCCCTTCCCCTGAAACTTCTAGCCTCCAGTAATGACAGAGAATACATTTCTGTTGTTTAAGCCACCCGGTGTGTGGTACTTTGTTATGGCAACCCTAGCGAAGGAAAACACATATGCATTTTCTTATTTGATCCTCAAAAACGCTTGCAAAAAGAAGGTCATTTGTTGCATAAAATCTGATTACATCTACATCTGTGATGTAAAACCAGAAGGCTTTCTTAAACTCAGCTTTTGTAATTTATTTTTAAAGTACTAAGTTCTGGGAACCACGTGATTTCTCCCTGTAAATATCAGGGCTATGCTCTGCTTTCCAGAAATCGTTGGACTTCAGCATGACTATGTCTCAGTTGCTGGATTATGCGGCAATTTTCTTTTTCTGTGTCTTAAAAGCCAGCTCTCTGGATACGTTTACGGCAGCTGTTTATGAGCATGCAGTGATATTGACTAATGCCACCCTGATACCGGTGTCCCATGAAGAGGCCTTGCTATTAATGAACAAAAATCTGGATCTTTTGGAGGGAGCAATCACATCAGCATCAAAGCAGGTACCATTTCTCAAGTGTGCTGGCTTCTACGGAGAGAAAAGGGTGGGGTCTTAGGAGACAGAATCACTGTCAGGGTGAATTACACTTTTGAATGACATATGTATCAGGGTAGCCAAGACCTTCTTTTACAGAGTCCTCCCTGCTCCTAGTTATTAGAGCAAAGACACTATTACATGCTTCCCTTGTAGTGAGAGCAATATTTTGAAAAGAACGGCTGGTTATTAAGTGGCAACAAACTTTTGAGGAACTTGCTGTAAATCCAACAATTTTGTTGCTCTTTTCTGCTACAGATGGAGGGTGAAGGATAGATGGGTGAGGGATCTGTTGCTATGCTTAGAGTGTTTGTGGCCTTGGTGTACTTTTGTGCTCTTAAGAGTTTGTAGGTTTTTAGGTTAGTTCATAACATCAAGACAATTAAATGTAAATTGCATTGTGTATTATATACAGTGTGTATTATATACTTCATACTTCATTCTAATTACAAGACAAAATTACATATGTTAATGCATAGTAAGTCCTTGAGTTGAATGAAGGGTTAAGTTTAAGTGTGTGGTTTGGACGAATATAGTTGAAATAAGCTATTTGTAGATCAGGTAAACAAGGGATATATAAAGTCTGATGAAAGTCATGGATATACACATATGACATATATCTATCAACATACATCCTTCTACATGCAAAGATTTAAAAAGGTTATTAAGGGGACTTCCCTGGTAGTGCAGTGGTTAAGACTCCGAGCTCCCAATGCAGGGGGCCTGGGTTCGATCCTTGGTCAGGGAACTAGATCCCACATGCGTGCTGCAACTAAGAGTTTGAATGCCACAACTAAGGAGCCAGTGAGCTGCAACTAAGGAGCCTGCCTGCCGCAACTAAGACCCAGCGCAACCAAATAAATAAATTAATTAATTAGAAGGTTATTAAGAATTCTGAGGTTCTTTTTCACCTTAGTCCACCTATTTCCTTAAAGGCCACACAGCAGCTTCCTGGATGGCCCTCCTACTGAAGGCACCCAGGTGAGCTCACGTTGTACCTCTAGGCCTGGCACCCTTCAGGTAACTGTGTCAGAGCTCCCTTCTGAGAAGCAGGAATCACATTTGCAGGGTATGAGGCAGGAAAGGCTGGGTGGAGGAGAGAGTGATAAATCAATCCTGACACACTCAGGCAAAATAATTGGCCAAAGGTCAGGGAGAGGGTTTATCCAGGGAAGAGTTAGGTTTATAGTTAACAACCACAGTGAATGGTTGAGCCTGAGAATAGCCTGGAAAAATATTAACAGCCATGAAAGGATGAAAAAGTTACATAGAAATGATTACTGTGGGATTAGAAAATGAAAGTGGTTGGGCAAAGAAAATAAATTATAAAAATATAGAAAGCAAAAGAATAAGGTGGAAAAAAAAACCCTGAATGTTTGTTCTTCAGCCACTCAGGTCCTCTTGCAGGCCCCATTTTTGACTGTTTGCTTATTTGAGAAATATTTTGATTCAGCTCCATTTTTAACAGGGTGCACATATTATTGTGACTCCAGAAGATGGTATTTACGGCTTTAACTTCAACAGGGAATCTATCTACCCATACTTGGAGGATATCCCGGACCCTCAAGTGAACTGGATCCCTTGTAATAATCCCGACAGGTAAAGAAACATATTGTGGAAAATTTAACCATGAACATGAACTTACTTTACCTGGGAAAACTTTGTAGAAGATCACTGTATAAGATTTACTATTGACTCTAAGTTTCAAGATAGTTTTATAATTTTTCATCTCCTACAGACATGTGTATTAGGAAAATGAATATGAATTATGATATGACAAAAGTCAGTGCTGTAACATAATGTAGAAATGATCAAATTCAATGTGAATTTCCACTGGGGGAATGATCTGGAGATGATAGCATAACTTAGGGCCACAGGGTGGTTAGCTAGAGGAAAAACCATATCCAAACTCACATCTTCTGACTCCTTGCCAGTGAACAGAAAATTGTTTCCCTATGTTGGTCTGTACTTTTAAAACTAAGTGAGAAAATAGTGAAAGAGAGTCACAGGTCAGTTTAAGATTAAAATTTTTCCTTTCACATTAATAAGATAGCTGGATGAGTTTAATATATATGAAATTCTTAAAGTTTAAGGTTATAACCTAGGAGATGATATAGCAGAACTGTGTAAGTGTTTTACATCAAGTCTAGAATAAGAAATATGAAGTCTGATAAAAGTAGCACTATTATTATTATTATTTTTTTTTTTCTTGCGTTATGCGGGCCTCTCACTGTTGTGGCCTCTCCCATTTGCGGAGCACAGGCTCCGGACGCGCAGGCTCAGCGGCCATGGCTCACGGGCCCAGCCGCTCCGCGGCATGTGGGATCTTCCCGAAACGGGGCACGAACCCGCGTCTCCTGCATCGGCAGGCGGACTCTCAAGCACTGCGCCACCAGGGAAGCCCAGCACTATTATTTTTAATATAAGCAAAACAATACAAGCTGTGTACAACATTTTAGAGAATCACGTCAGTTAGCTCACTTCTTTCCAAATGTATTATTGCTAAAATTGTAGGAGTTCCTCTTTTGGAACTGCTCTCAAAACCACACAAACAACTATATCTGCTTATAGAGACACGTTGATTTTGACAAAGTTCAATATTATTTATCTTAATCAACTACCTTATATTTCATTACATCATAATTTTTTCTTATTTAACCATGTCTTATACCAGAGCTTCAGATTCTAAAGGGCAAGCACCATTATGACTTCCATTTTGAATGGATTTCATTTGTTTCTGAATGACCTTTCCCTAGAGCCAAATTTCCTAGGGCCTTCTGAAAATACCCACCAGGGTGTTCCATTTTTCCATTACAAGAAGTCTGTTAGGAGAGGGAGGAACCAAGATGGTGGAGTATAAGGACATGCTCTCACTCCCTCTTGTGAGAACACCAGAATCAGTACTAGCTGATGGACAATTATCAACAAGAACTCACAAAAAAAGATACCCCACATCCAAAGACAAAGGAGAAGCCACGATGAGGCAGTAGGAGGGGCACAATAACACTAAAATCAAATCCCATAACTGCTGGGTGGGTGAGTCACAGACTGGAGAACACTTATATCACAGAAGTCCACCGACTGGAGTGAAGGTTTTGGGCCCCACTTCAGGCTTCCCAACCTGCAGGTCCAGCAACAGGAGGAGGAATTCCTAGAGAATCAGTCTTTGAAGGCTGGTGGGATTTGATTGCAGGACTTTGACAGGACTGGGGGAAACAGAGACTCCACTCTTGGAGGGCACATACAAAGTAGTGTGCGCATCAGGACCCAGAGGAAGGAACAGTGACCCCAGGGGAGACTGAACCAGACCTACCTGCTAGTGTTGGAGGATCTCCTGCAGAGGCAGGGGTTGGCTGCGCCTCACCATGAGGACAAGGACACTGGCAGCAGAAGTTCTGGGAAGTACTACTTGGCATGAGCCCTCCCAGAGTCCACCATTAGCCCCACCAAAGAGCCCAGGTAGTCTCCAGTGTTGGGTTGCCTCAGGCCAAACTATCAACAGGGAGGGAACCCAGCCCAACCCATCAACAGTCAAGTGGATTAAAGTTTTACTGAGCTCTGCCCACCAGAGCAACAGTCAGCTCTACCCACCACCAGTCCCTCCAATCAGGAAAATTACACAAGCCTCTTAGATAGCCTCATCCACCAGGGGGCAGACAGCAGAAGCAAGAAGAACTACAATCCTGCAGCAGGCAGAGGGCTATATATCAGATGAAGGAACAAGATAAAACCCCAGAAAAACAACTAAATGAAGTGGAGATAGGCAAACTTCCAGAAAAAGAATTCAGAATAATGATAGTGAAGATGATCCAGGACCTTGGAAAAAGAATGGAGGCAAAGATCAAGAAGATGCAAGAAATGTTTAACAAAGACCTAAGAGAATTAAAGAACAAACAAACAGAGATGAACAATACAATAACTGAAATGAAAACTACACTAGAAGGAATCAATAGCAGAATAACTGAGGGAGAGGAATGGATAAGTGACCTGGAAGACAGAATGATGGAATTCACTGCTGTGGAACAGAATAAAGAAGAAAGAATGAAAAGAAATGAAGACAGCCTAAGAGACCTCTGGGACAACATTAAATGCAACAACATTTGCATTATAGGGGTCCCAGAAGGAGGAGAGAGAGGAAGAACCCAAGAAAATATTTGAAGAGATTAAAGTTGAAAACTTCCCTAACATGGGAAAGGAAATAGCCACCCAAGTCCAGGAAGCACAGCGAATACCATACAGGACAAACCCAAGGGGAAACATGCCGAGACACACAGTAATCAAATTGGCAAAAATTAAAGACAAAGAAAAATTATTGAAAGGAGCAAGGGAAAAATGACAAATAACATTCAAGGGAAATCCCATAAGGTTAAGAGCTGATTTCTCAGCAGAAACTCTACAAGCCAGAAGGGAGTGGCATGATATACTTAAAGTGATGAAAAGGAAGAATCTACAACCAAGATTACTCTACCCAGCAAGGATCTCATTCAGATTCGATGGAGAAATCAAAAGCTTTACAGACAAGCAAAAGCTAAGAGAATTCAGCACCACCAAACCACCTCTACAACAAATGCTAAAGGAACTTCTCTAAGTAGGAAGCACAAAATAAGAAAAAGACCTACAAAAACAAACCCAAAACAATTAGAAAATAGTCACAGGCACATACATATTGATAATTACCTTAAACATGAATGGATTAAATGCTCCAATCAAAAGACACAGGCTTGTGGAATGGATAAAAAAACAAGACCCATATATATGCTGTCTTCAAGAGACCCACTTCAGACCTAGGGACACATACAGGCTAAAAGTGAGGGAATGGAAAAAGATATTCCATGCAAATGGAAATCAAAATAAAGCTGGAATAGCAATAGTCATATCAGATTAAATAGACTTTAAAATAAAGAATGTTACAAGAGACAAGGAAGGACGTTACATAATGATCAAGGGATCAGGGGCTTCCCTGGTGGCACAGTGGTTGGGAGTCTCCCTGCCGATGCAGGGGACATGGGTTCGTGCCCCGGTCCGGGAGAATCCCACATGCTGTGGAGCGGCTGGTCCTGTGGGCCATGGCCACTGACCCTTCAAGTCCAGAGCCTGTGCTCTGTGGCGGGAGGAGGCGTGGCAGTGAGAGGCCCACATACCAAAAAAAAAAAAAAAGATCAAGGGATCAATCCAAGAAGAAGATATAACAATTATAAATATATATGCCCCCAACATAGGAGCACCTCAATACATAAGGCAACTGCTAACAGCTATAAAAGAGGAAATCGACAGTAACAGAAAAATAGTGGAGGACTTTAACACCTCACTTACACCAATGGACAGATCATCCAAACAGAAAATAAATAAGGAAACAGAAGCTTTAAATGACACAATAGACCACAGAGATTTAACTGATATTTATAGGACATTCCATCCAAAAACAGATTACACTTTCTTCTCAAGTGCGCATGGAACATTCTCCAGAATAGATCACATCCTGGTTCACAAATCAAGCCTCAGTAAACTTAAGAAAATTGAAATCATATCAAGCATCTTTTCTGACCACAACACTATGAGATTAGAAATGAATTCCAGCGAAAAAAACGTAAAAAACACAAACACACAGAGGCTAAACAATACGTTACTAAATAACCAAGAGATCACTGAAGAAATCAAAGAGGAAATCAAAAAATACCTAGAGACAAATGACAATGAAAACATGATGATCCAAAACCTATAGGATGCAGCAAAAGCAGGTCTAAGAGGGAAGTTTATAGCAATACAATCCTACCTCAAGAAACAAGAAAAATCTCAAATAAACAATCTAACCTTACACCTAAAGAAACTAGAGAAAGAAGAACAAACAAACCCAAAGTTAATAGAAGGAAAGAAATCATAAAGATCAGAGCAGACATAAATGAAATAGAAACAAAGAAAACAATAGCAAAGATCAATAAAACTAAAAGCTGGTTCTTTGAGAAGATAAACAAAATTGATTAACCAGACTCATCAAGAAAAAGAGAGAGAGGACTCAAATCAATAAAATTAGAAATGAAAAAGAAGTTACAACAGACACTGCAGAAATACAAAGCATCGTAAGAGACTACTACAAGCAACTCTATGCCAAAAAAATGGGCAACCTGTAAGAAATGGACAAATTCTTAGAAAGGTATAACCTTCCAAGACTGAACCAGGAAGAAATAGAAAATATGAACAGACCAGTCACAAGTAATGAAATTGAAACAATGATTAAAAATCTTCCAATAAACAAGTCCAGGACCAGATGGCTTCACAGGTGAATTCTACCAAACATTTAGAGAAGAGCTGACACCCATCCTTCTCAAACTCTTCCAAAAAACTGCAGAGGAAGGAATACTCCCAAACTCATTCTATGAGGCCACTATCACGCTGATACCAAAACCAGACAAAGATACTAGAAAAAAAGAAAACTACAGACCAATATCACTGATTAATATAGATGCAAAAATCCTCAACAAAATACTAGCAAACAGAATCCAACAACAAATTAAAAGGATCGTACACCATGATCAAGTGGGGTTTATCCCAGGGATGCAAGGAATCTTCAATATATGCAGATCAATGTGATACACCATAAT